AGGTTTAGGGTTTTGAATCTGAAAAGGAAATGAAAAGAGAAACGAAGATAACTTGTGATTTTTGGGGAACTTGATTGAAACTGGAGAAAGAGAAAACAAAATTTTCATGTGGGCCCCACTAAAAAGAAAAAGGTTAAATGCTTAATTTGGTCTCTCAACTTTAAGAAATGAACATTTTTGGTCCCTTAACAATTTTTTGCACTTTTTTGATCCCTCAACTATAAGAAATGCACTTCGTTAGTCCTTTTGTCAATTTGGACTGTTAAGTCCGCCAGGTGGCATTTTTTATTATTTTTTTGATGACGTGGAGAGCAAACTTTTAAAAAGCGCTGATATGGACCAAACGTGTTGCCATGTAATGTTCTCGCGAGCCAAAGGCGCCAATCCACTGAAATGGGCCCCACGTTGCCTGCCGAAGCTCTAATAAACACGCGATAAACCCTGGGATTGCAGAGATGTCTTTTGGCTTGCTCTTTCGGTAGAAAAAAAAAAACCTAAAACTTCTACAGAACAGAGAACACTGCACTTTCGATTCTCCTCTTTGGGATTGCAGAGATTTTCTCATAGTTTATCCTATCTTCCTTGTTCGATTCTCCGATTCTCCTTCAAAGTTCGAACTCAAACCCTAGATTTGCTGGGATTCCAAGGATTTGCCAAGGGAATCGAAGTTGCGATTGTTGAAAAGTCACTCGAAAGCAGGATCGATGGACCCCAATGACCCCGAAATTGTTGATGTCGACCTGGAACCAAGCGAAGAGATTCTGGAAGACGAGGTATCGATATGGGTTTCCTTCTCCTTTTTTTTATTGTTGTCTAATTGATTCAGAGGGTACTTTTTTATACTGACATGGACCCTTGTCTGATAAAAGTGATGCAAAAATTTTGATGCATGTTGAACTGCATGACTGTTCGAGGAGAAAAGGACATTAGGTCCCCACTTAAACAGGAAGTTTGTGTCGTTTATGTCTTTCCCATTTACTTTTGGGTTTAATAATAATTTCTTTATTGAGTAAAATTGTCTTAACAATTTAAAATTTTTGCTTTCAACGCTGCTAGTTTTCTGGTGTCTGCTGTGTTGACTCGCGTCCAGACCAGATCTGCATTGAGTAATTTATTTTGTTTGTTTGCTTTATTTATTAGGGTGAGCATGATTCAGGAAATGAGGCAGAAACCAAATTTGTACCAATTTTCATTCATTTGGGTGAGAGGTTTATACAGGAAGTTGGTAATTCAATTTCATATGTTGATGGTGAATGTGATGACTGGATTATTAATAGGGATAAGTTGACACTGTTTGAACTTTATACTAAGATTGGTATTGCTGGATATGATGCTGATATGGTCGACCAAATATGGTATTTAGAACCAAGAAAAACAATTACAGATGGTTTGAAACCTATTAGGAATGATCATGACATTAGGGATGTTTTGGGGGTGTTGAAGGTGGAGAAAAAGGTACATATTTATGTGTCTCATGTCCCGGATTTTGCTGAAATTATACCTATCTTACCATTACTAGCCCCGAGTGATAAGATTACGGTTGCCGACAATCCTGTTGAGGTTGAGGGGAGAGTAGAAAATGATCATGTTGATGTGGAAGGCAGAGTTGAGGATGCTGGTCGTGCGGTTGAGGTTGAAGGCAGAGTTGAGGATGCTGGTCATGCGGTTGAGGTTGAAGGCAGAGTTGAGGATGCTGGT